GTGAGATGCGACAGGACAATCAGTCTCTCCAATTTGACGGAGACATGCATTTGTGGGAGTCCCTAGAATCGGCTACCACCAGGTAAGCCCGATGTGAGTGTTCATTTGTTTAACGGGAGTGGTTGGCCCTTCAACGAAAGTGTTGCTTCCTTGAATCTGACCTGATCTTGAGTTGAGTAGCAGACGGTGAGTCGGTTTGGCAAATTCCTACACGCTGAGGGGCAATGTGGACATTGGGAGGGGGAACTGATGCCTGATGTTGTGTCGAAGTGGCACTCCTTCACGTTTGGTTCGCCATAGCACACAGTGGTTGTGTTGGTGACGGAGCTATTACCAAACTTTGTTAATAATTGAATTCCGCGACCCTACTCGGAATGACTGCGATGAATTGGAGGTGATAAGTCGGTGGAGTTAGTAGTACTTGGTGGATGAAGGCGCGGTGGGAAATCTGCGGTGGCACTTTGAGGCAGCAGATTTGTTTGAAGCGAGTTGGAGATGCACGTGTAAATTCACACACAACACGCGGGTATCAGGGGAACATGCATCGACGAAAGATAACGCCTGGGGCAAAAACGTCTTCCGGCAACGAAATGCGTGGACAATAATCCGACACAAGTGTCTGTATTTCGCCGAAATGGCTGTATTCCGTCTTGGGCGTCAACACTCAGGCAGCCAGGCTTGTTTAAATTTTGTTTCTTAAAATGGCGCGTACTTTTAGCGGACGCCTGCAAACACCAGACAGAAATTGAGCTCCTAGTCGTGAACTCAGCCATTAGTTTTTTTAGCGATTTGCTTGACGTGGGGGTAGATTTTCCATTTAGGCGACTAACTCTCACCCTCTAAGCTCGTATCGCTGCGTCGGAAGACGGGTTGCAAGACCTCTTCAAGGTTATCGCATCGCATGTACCAGAGTCTATTCCTGAAGGCCTTCTGTAAGTATTTTTTGACACCAAATTCAATTCCCACCCTGTACGTAGACACTGTTTTCACGGATAATTTTCACGTTGAAGCGCACTCAGGCTAAAAGAGGCCGTTAATCGCGCGGTGGATGTTCTGAAAACGTTTGATCAAATCTTTGATGTCTGCTTTGACTTGTGTGGCAAACTAGGCCTGAAGACTTCTGCTTGCCAAAATGAGGCAACCATTTGTCTGCCAGTATTGCGTCCGACGTGCGTATTCTCTCGCCAATTCTCTCTCTCTCTAGTTAATTGCGACTTTTCCTGGCATCTTGCTTCTTTCCTCCTTTTCTGGTTGTCGCGATTTCGGCCAAAGTAATTATTGCCTCGGTCGGATGCGCTCTGGTAATTGACAAACGTTAAACACTATGGTTTTGGTTGAAATTATCCGTGAAGGTAGGATTTCGTCATTGACCTGTGTCTAGCTGTAGTGCTAACAGGATTCCTGCAATTGGTCTCCGCCAGTGTCCATCAAAACGATGAAAATTATTACTTCAAATTTGATTCGAATTTACAAAAATCAAAAATTCCCGAAGCCTTGTCTCATGTTCGCTAGCTGCCTGAGTGTATCGTTGGCGAACATTGAAAGCCTGCTCCTCAGAGCCAGTTTTTTGACCTTTCGAGTGTGTTAATGAGGCAAAATACGGTATGTGTGTTTCAAAAAAGCACGTTTGAGACATGGCGAGCAGGCTCGACTTGTGAGATTATATGTGTCTGAAGCTTATTTTCTCTGTATTGTTGGATAGACATCCCAAAATTGTCATTGGCTCTCAGTTACAGTGAGATCGATTTCAGCACCGTCCTGATGAAACCATGATTTCGGTGTAACCGGAGCCATTCCCTTGTCTCTGCTCACAGCCACGTATTCTTGCAGGTGCAAACGGACACAAATTCGAGCTGTTCGTCCACGGACGACGAAGTCGATGAGGCACGAGACGAGACAGACGGGGACGGCGCCTCGCCGTCGGTTGTCTCCAGTGGCAACGGAGAGGCGCTTCACGATACCGAGGCGCGAGTTCTGCGGGAGATTGAAGCCCTCGCCAGCACCGCGCTCCAGCTTCCAGGCGGGCTGACGTCGACCGACAAGCAACCCACCCTGCCTCCTCCCCTCGTGGGACACGCCAATCCGATCGCGTCGAGTAACCGCAACAGCGCCGCCAGCCTTGACAGTGGTCGTGGCTCCGCCTACGCCACCAGCTCTGACGGAACGAAAACGGTTCGTTTGTGTCCGTTTTTCGCCCCTTGCCCTTGTGGCAGGAGTTGTGGTTTTTGGTGAATATTGGAACCCCGAAGATTGTCTAACTTTATCAGCAAATACCTTTGTCTGCGAAATTGATCGATGAGGTGTAATGCGTGCACAAGGGTTTGGTACAAAAGGTCGTAAGCCCACAGGTTTGGGATGATCCACCACTTTTCTGAATGCAGTTTGGTCAGAAATGAATAAAAATGAACTAAATATTTTTAGAGTAACGTTTATATAAGTTTATACCATTTGATGTGAATTTGAAAAGGAGCGATAACTCGCACTGCTTGTTTAAAATCAAAACGAAGTGGCGTGTTCAAGCGACAAGATGGTAATGCCGAGTCAACAAATTCAACTTTTGTGCGTCCAACAGTCCCGATGCCTCTAAGTGAGCCTCCGCCTCCCCACTCTACAGAATTTTCTCAAGTTATGGCCAACTTTGACAAGTTTGGTGGTTGTGGTCAGGATAATGTGCCCGATGCAGCACGGGTAAACATTAGCCAAGCTCTTCTCTCGTCCTAATCAATCTTCTTCGACGAAAGAAGCGCCTAGTTTTTCCTTTGCGGTGAGAGACTAGGCACCTGTCAGGGTGTTTGCGGCTTTTTTGTCCGCTGTGATCCACGGACACGGTGTGTGTGCGCGTGCTTTTTCGGTCTGGTTACACCAAACACTGCCAATATCGTTGTTTTGATAGCCCTGGTTTCGCGCCTACAAGATTGGTTCAAGAGCGTATCTTTTA